TCTTCCAGTGAGTTTGATTGGCCTCTTTATCAAAGATTAGGTGGTTGAGTGTGTTTTTGGTTGTGTCTGTTTCTTCCAGTCTGTTCCATTGATCCTCAGGTCTTTCCCTATTTTTAAAAAGTTTTCTGCCATTATTTCTGTGAACAGGTTTTTTATGCCATTTGTGCTGTCTTCTAATTTTTCACTAATTCCAATTATTCTTACGTTAGTCTTTTATGCATTATCTGGCAGTTATTGGATCCATGTTTCACATTCTGTTTTTGTTTTTAAGATGTCTTTGGGTAGTTGGTCTTTGAAGGTATTGTTGTCTTCTGGCTCTAAAATTCTGGTCCCACAGTGGTTGGTCCTGCCTATACTTTTGCTATGATTTATAATCCCTTGGATTTCTGATTTAACCATTTTCATGAACTCTAATTGTTTGGTGGATTGCTTATTTGTGTATTTTGTCATTTTATTTATCCCCCCTAGCTTTTTATTAGTGTCTTCTAAAAGCTTCTGCATCATTTTGCTTATTATTTCCGTTATCTGTTTATCTTCTCTGACCCCACTGAATATCTCTTTGTTCTGTTTTCTAACCTCCTCTATATCTTTGGATTACTTCAGTTGTGTGCCTTATGCTATTCTGCCTGTCACTGTCCTCTGGATTGGCTTCTGGGGAGTTGCTCATTTGGGGAAGCATTTTCTTTCCTTCTCTTCTCATGTTTTTATTGTTTTTTTTTCTGTGTTTTGTTTTGTGCTGAGGTTGATAGATGCTTATAGTCTAAAGACTTTGTTGCTAGTACAGAGATCTCTTTAGCTGCTTTTCTCTGATGCAGTTTGGGCATGACTAACTACAGTCCTTTGTCATAAAGCACTACCTTTATTACTTGGAGCAATCAAAATAGCCCAAACACCAACTTTACTGAGAATGTACTCTAGTATTGTTAATATCATAAGGGTAATATGAGTGTTGGTTTAAGAGAAATAGCAACAATTTTGTGATCCTACTAGTACCAGGTGAATCAGCTATAATATTATCATCCATGACAAATTGGATATTAACGTATCATAAGAACTAATGTATTGAATTTAGCTAATATGTACTAAATGTGGCAGCTCTATCTTGGCTAGTGGTAGAATTTGAGAATAATTTTACAGTGTTAGCTAACTATCAAAAGAATAAGAGGGCTGGGGATATAGCTCAGCAGCACAAACTTTTTTCTGGCAAGTGCAAGGTCTTGAGTTTGATTCCTGGCACAAAAAAAGAACAACAAAGTTTTATATGGTTATATTGTAAAGATATAGGGTTTGGTACTGGAGGAATGCAAGAGGAAATCTTTGATTCCTTAAACTCTATAATATGAGAAAGAACAGACAGAAGTTGTATAAAGAATTTTTTGGGACATAAAAGAATGTTTATAGAATTAGGCAAATGTAGGTGAAAAATGAATGAAAAATAGAAGATAAAAAGAAAAGAGGGAGAAAAAAGAAAGATATCTATCTATATCTATATCATTTACTTATCTCTCTGTCTATATATATATATATGTCAGATTAAAAAATTAAAGGGAAAAATTAAAAGAGAGAAGAAAAATAAAGAAAAGTGAAAAAAAAGCAATGAGAAACAAGGAAGAGGGACAAAGTAAAATTCTTCAAGCCACAATAAACTGATGATGGAGGAAACTAGAGCAAAAGAGAAAAAAAATTAAAATCTAAAAAAACCACACACTTAAAAAACAAAAACAATAACAATGTCTCCCCCCAAAAACAATACAACAATAACAAAAATTTTTTCCCTATGATACTTGAATGTGTATTTTTTTTCTTGGATCTACAAAATTTTCCTTATATTTGTTTATCTTTTTCTGGGGTCTACATATCTTGTCCAAGTCAAGATATGTCCCTGCTCATCTTGGTAGAGTAAGAAGGCAGTCAGATCTCAGATTCATGCTGGATGGAGACACCAGCAGGTATAAAAACAGAGTGAGGAAGCCAATTCTGTGACTTTCAAATCTAGCACATTTCACAGTGATCCTGGCCTCTGGCCATTTTGATGTGGATTTGTCCTTTAGTTTAAATAATTAAGGGGTTCTCTTGCCTGCCTGACCTTGGCTCACTGATCACAGTTGTCTCCTATAGCTGTCTCTCACCCAGTCACTGTGGGCACGTAACACTGGAAGTTATGAAGTGAAACCATCCCGTGCCTTCTTTGAGTTCTACCTTCAAACAATCTATCCTTCCCCAGAATGTCATCTGACCCAGCACTGTCTCCAGAGTTATAGCTGGCATGTGGATTGGAGCCACTCTCCAGCTGTTGCAGGTCACAGCATCGCTGGTCCATTTTAGAGTGGTGTTTCTCCCTGAAGTCCTCTGGAGTCCCCTAATTTCACTTTGTCTCTATAGATTCAAACTTTCTCTCTTGTGAGCCAAGGAGAAAATACAGACTGTCCCTTCCCTTCACTTAGTTGTGTCCCATCTCTTCAATTTCCTGGTAGCTTTTAATTTTCCTATCAGATCATTTCTGGTTTCCAGGGATCTGCTACCCTATTTTGTTATTTTGCCAAGTCTGGATTCTGAGGCTTGGAGACAGAGTCATTGCTGCTTGCCACTCCCTGATTTTTTAAAAAATTGATATATGGTCTGAATAAATCAGTAAGTTGCTCCAGATTGGGCTCAAACTCATAAACCTCCTAACTCAGCCTCCCAGAATGTTGAAGTTAAAGATGAGGGCCAACATACTCATCAGGCATTTAACAAAATAAAGATTTCAAATGTGGTGGGACTAACCTCTAACTGTCACTGCTCAGGAAGGTGAGCCAAAGGATCCCCTGTTTGAGGGAAGCCTGGGTAACTTAGCAAAGACAGTATCTTAAAATAACAAAGTAAACAAGTTTAGGATATAGCTCAGTTGTAGAATATCCTTGCATTCCATCTACAGCAAAGCAAGAGGAAACTGAATCAAAGGGTATACCCGAGGAGACAGAGAGTGTATTCTTCATGGCTGATGGATATGGAGGATATGATGAGATTACTAAATAAAGGAAGACAAAATTTTGCATTTGCTCTATTCTTTAGGATTTTGTTCTTTTCATGCATAGGTGGGAGACATAATTTGTCCATAAGGCATGTACTTACCTGTTTGATTGGCAATCTCATTTTCTGCACAAGGCATACAAAGGAAACAACAGGTAGCTTTTCCTTCCTGAGGGGCTTTCCTAAATCCAGGATTACAGCTGTCACTGCATACGGAGCGGGGAGTCTGAGGAAAATCAGATATGTGCTGGTAATTTCTTAGTTTTACTTAATCTTCTACACAGCAAACAATAAACCTAATTAGTATAAACACAAACATTCTAATATTTGCTTGAATGCCATTTTATTTTAATGATAGAAAACATGTGGATAATTTAAAAACATAGTTAAGCAAATGTATTCCATTTCCATTCACAACAAAGGGGTTAAATATGAAAATGCCTTACATCGGGAAGTCAAACATTAAATTTCTGTGTATGAAAATATCCTGATCAAAGGTAAGATGCAAAATACAAAACAAGATTTGGTTATTTATATTTAACTAAATCCATTATGTTTAGCTCCAACCTACCTCTGTAATTCCTGTGGCCCACTCTATCATATTCTCAAATAAAGACAATTGTTGGAGAGCTGGAGCATGAGTGGAAAACTCTCCTACTTTCACCCTTAGCCTAAGGCCTTCTGGAAAATTCCAAAAGTTGAGAATATCATACTTTGCATCCACTTTACTTTTCTTGTCTAAATTTACTTTGTCTCCAGCAGGATTGTAAAACTGGAGTTCCTTCAGAAAGGTGTGCAGCTGAAAGACATACATGATCTTTTGATGAAGTTGGTCTTAAAATTTAAGTGCAAAATCTAAATGTGAAAAGCTCCTAATTGTCTCTCATCCTTGTTTCATAATGAAACTTTAACCACTGCATGGTTAAAATTTAAGTTTTTAAAATTTGAAACAAGTGCAAAGAGTATTGGCATTTTATGGGACCAAGGCAGTGATTTGGCTTCATTTACTGGTTGAAGTATATTTCTTATGGAAGACTCTCCTGTATTTCTGGGAAGATTTTTTTCCTTGCTTGGGGGACTGAGGAATGTCTTTAATAGGACTGCAATAAGGGGCTGTGCTATCCAATGAAAAGGACATTACCTGCCAGGGGGAAAACACCATTGCATTCCAATTTCCAACTGGTTGCATTTGAACTTGTTGAAGGAGCAACCCCTGGAGGGCGTGGGCCACAGCATACACAGCATTGTACGTATTGTAACTTCCATCACTCATGGCCACATCAAAACGATTCATAGGCAACCGTGCCAAGGAGGCATTAGGTGTACAGTCTTTCAATGCACAGTCAGAGTCAGAGAATGAGCAGTGGAAATTCTGGAACCAATACAGAGTGAGGAAAGTGTCTTCCGGGTATGTGGAGGGGTTAACGGTTTCGATGAAATTTTTAAATCCAGAAATCTCCTCATGGTGTTGTGAAAAAATCAGAGTCCCATGGAAAGAATCAAAGATGAAGTTTCTCCCAGACACATCAGAATGCCATTCTGAGTTTGTGACCCAGACTCTCCATGTCACTAAATATAGCCCTACCTGATAGTTCATATCATTTAGACCCACAGAATCAAAATAAATGATAACTATATTTACTGGAGATGTTTCTTTGCTCAGGAAATCATGTTGCTTTGTAACTGAGGTATATGACACAAGAACACTTGGGATCACTTTCACAAATGCTACACAGACTCTGTTCCCGTCCATCTCTCGCTTCACATCAGAGAGAAATTGAAGACCTTTCTGACCTTCTGCAATAACCAGGCCCACCCAGGTCCAGCTGAAATGAAGCATCAAGGAGACCATGCCAAGAGCCAGAGATGTGTCCTTTGGGGCCGTCTGATAGAGGGAAGGAAACTGGCCATTGTCACTCAACACAGGGTCAAAAGATCCAAACGCAAACTGAAAACAAAAGAAAATGGAAAAGCTGTGAAGATTAACATAAATCACAACCTTAGACTGAAAGTTTATTAGGAAAAGAATGGAAATTGTTGAAGCACATATTCATTCCCCCATTTTTGAAATTGTAGTAGCCTTATTTTTTAAAAATAATTGACCAGACTGAGTTCCTCTCTCCTTTCTCTCTAGTGCAAAGTAAACATGCATAAGCCATAAATCTGTGTGTACTACATTTTGAGATTACAAAATTAAGTTGTTATATACATGTACCATTTCCCCTTGATAATTGTAATCATCACATCCTGTAAACATGTACTAATAAAAATAAAAATGTTAAAACTCTGATGCAGATATCTACTCTCTTTTTAGCACATTTGGGAAGTTGACAAGGGCACCAACATTCCATAATTTCATTCCTCCTTATCACCCCCACCCTCACCTGTGGAAATTTGTAGAGTTCTAGCAGTGTTCCAGTTTGAGCAGCATTTGCCCATGCTGTTCCTGTTAATACTGCTACAGATTTGCTCTCTCTGCCACAAAAATAGTTAGGGATTTCATCCTGTCCTGTGTACAAAATGAAGAAACTCTCCAATAGCCTCCAATGACTGTAATATATATTATGGAACTCATATCCCAGAGACATGTTGGGTAGTAGGTGAGGATTCCTGTTGATCTCTTCTATGGCAAAAATGAAGGTTAGAACATTCTTGTAGTTGGTAGGAGCAATCCTGCACAGAGAGTGTAGATCAACTGATGATTATGAATCTTCCAATTCAGTACAATGCCATTTTTGTGTTGCATGCTTGTGTTCTTCGCTCAAATGCATATCCTAAGACCCTAAGCTTAAATGCAATAGCATTCGAAATGGCAAAGACATTTGGAACAAGAACCAAGGAGTGGCTGCAGTGAAAACTCCTAGGAAACTAAGAGATACTGCACCATGGTGTTTCACTTTATCATCTCTTTTTACATTAGGAATTGGAGTGGGGAGATAAAGAGAGCTGGTGAGAAATAATCAGGAGCACTCTGAAGGCATGGTTGGGCTGAGGTTCTGTTTGCTAAGGTTTGTTCTTTTTTCTAACCTGAGGCCCCCAACAGTAATCTAAACAACTGGTTTCTGTAAAATATGATGTTGATGATGGACAGGACCCTGTGGGAAGAAGAGGATTTTCCAGAGTTACACTGGCCCATGAGGGGAGGGTGGAGAGGGTTATGGGGAAGAGAGTTTCAGACAGGATAAATAGCCAGCAACGACTCAGTAAAGGACACCATGGTCAAGGTCAGGGCACTGGAGGCTCAACAAACAAGGCTCCTGGGATTCACAGGATTTTCTCACCCAGGAATAAGATAGTCATTCCTCTCTAAACAACGTCTTTGTTCTGTTTAAAGTTACAACTAATGGTGCTTGTAAAAATATGCCTGCTACATGCCCTGAGGTCCTATTGGCCCACTTCTAAGTGAAGCTTTCCTGCTTGTAACCGCTTAGGTTGATCTCACCTTGCTGAGACATAATCATTTTTATGTATAAAAAGTGCCAATCAAACAGTCCCTTTGGCCGCCCAGTTGGATCCCCTTTCAGGTTGATTAATGTGGGGATTTTTGTTTTCAGCTTTACAACAAATGCTGCTTTCTGCTTTCACTGCACAGCAAATAAAATAAACCCTATTTTCACCTCTACCTTATAATTCTTTCTGGGTTGAGAGAAAAGTCCACCAGCTACACAGTAACAAGAATATAAAATAGTGCAATGCATAAATAAACATCACAGCTGGGTGTGGTAGTGCATGCCTGTAATTCCAGCATTTGGGAGGCTGAGCCAGGCGGATCACCATGAGTTCGAGGCCAGCCTAAACTACAAAGTGACACCCTGTCTAAAAACAAAAACAAAATCACCCTAAAAAAATATCAGTAGCAGTATATCCTACAATAGCCCTTGTACTATTTACATTTTTCATCATCTTGTAAGCAAAAGTCTTTCAACAAACAGCAAGTTTCTATTGCATTTCTATTGAATGGTATCTGTTTTCTTCAAGAATACAATAGAGAAAATTTTTATGTTATTTTTCAATTTTCCTCTCTAGGGAGGTATCTTTAGAGTCCAGTTCATATGCATATCCTGTGACTGCTACCTATGGGACTGAGAAAAATATCTACTTTTCCTTTTTTACTTGCATTACTCCATGCTAGGCAAGTGCTTGGCTGTTTTGCCCCCTTCCAGATAAGAATATATATTCTTCCATTGAGGGGTAGATCTATCTATAGAGTTCCAATGCATTTGACTTTCTAATGTAAATTTTATCTTATTAACATACAGTTATTAATTCTCATTTAGACAGGATTGCTAAAATTCCTCTGTATAATGCCACATATTTTCTTACTGTTACTTTTCCCTCTAAATCCTCCTACTCATTCTACACTTGATCATCATTGCAAAGTTCATTTTTCTTCTTTATTTGATTCTACACTATCTTAAAATATAATATGGAAGAATATAGTTAAAATTATTGTGATAATTTAACATATCCTGTGTCATTATTATCTGTGACTCCATTGTATCTCTTTGTTATTATACCTAACCACATATTTCTTAAGCCAATTGATTTGAAATTTAAAAAGTTATCACAGACATATTCTCAACAGTATTTGACTAATATTTTCTTAATTTTTGAAATATCTTCTCTGAAATTTTTCAACTTTGGCTTCATTTATACACTACACTTACAAAAGGAGATAAATACATTTGTAAATATCCATCAGATCTTACAGTTTGCATGCAAGTACAGAATTTGTTCCATTTACATTTCCATGATAATACATCTTCTTTTTTCCAGCTATGCATATCCTGTTCTCCATTTTCTGATAACTTCCAATTTCTGTTCTAGCTTTTGTCTTCCTGTATAGATTTTTACTTACTTTTGTTATTGCACTGTATAACCTCTACTTGGGTAAGGGTTATATTCTACAGTTCTATTTGTTCATGTATAATAAATTAAATAACACTTTCTAAATTAGATATATTTTCTCATCTGTTTAGAAGTTCATGGACTCTTCATCTTTCCTCTATCTTCCCATGAGTCACTATTTTGTTTCAGGATATGTTTTACTAAGTTCTCCTGCATTCTTCTACATCTAACCTGAGAAAAGCCATCTATTACAAATCAACCTCCAACATCATACTAAATGAACAAAACTGGAAGCTTTCACTCTAAAATCATAAACAAGACAAGGATGTCCACTATCACCACTGCTTTCCAATATAGTTCTGGAAACATTAGCCAGAGTAACTACACAAGAGAGACAAATTAAAGGAATAAGGCTAGGAAAGGAAGAAGTGAAATTATCATTATTTGTAGATGACATGATAAGTTACATAAAAGACCCCAAACACTACACCAAAAGACTCCTAGAGTTAACAGCCAAATTCAATTGCATGGCTGGATACAAAGTCCATACTAAGTTCTCCTTAATATGCTCCAGTCTAATGTTCCTTGTTTCTATTTGTACTGGGTGATGTTTCCTTCAGAATTAGCACTGACTGTTCTATTATCTCTTCTTCAGTAAAACCCATCTGTGCAGCTTCTATTATGTAAAAGTCTACATTTATCCCTGCCAAGCCTGTCATTTTGCATAAGTTTTTAGTTTAATATTCCTTGAAGATTTATATTTTTATGAATGGCTTATCAGTAGTTAGTCTATACTTTCAAGTTACTATGTTTGGCCTTTGAGTAAAGACATGTGTAAATCTATTATTCATTTTAATGCTTGATTTGTTTAGTCAAAATAAATAGCTATGATGGATTTCCTTATTGTTGAGCTGTTGCTAGTATCATTTTAATGACAGGGTCTTCCTTTAGTCTTTTTCTCCACAGAACTCCACTGGCTTCTGCTTCGATCCTATAAATTAACACATTGTGGATTGTCATTTTTCCCATGACTCCAAGTAAATCCGAGTTCCTAATTCACTTAGCAGAGAACATGCATTTTATGGCTATGTTTGACATGTGCCCATTTTCAAGTTAAATTTTTCGTAAGTATATTTCACTTCTCATTACCCTTGGATATTTGTCTTCAGTATCCAAACTCAGGAACGAAATTAAAATTAGTTTTCATAGAATATCTTTTTGTGGGGAAAATTATTCAGAGTGTAGAGTGCTCTACATGTTGAGAATGGAAATATCAATTTGATTCTCCTTATTCAACATAAATGAATTGAAAAGTAAATGAATATTCAAGTAAAATAAAAACTGCTTGTCTGTTAAGAGAAATGAAGGAAAAGCCTTCAAATTATCATATATGTCATAAAACTGGAAAGTGAAAAAGACAGGAGGAAGCAGAATTAGGAAGACGAAAATTCAGCACAAAATAAAGGTGCTAATTTCATGGCCCCACACTACACTGATGGAATAAGAAAAGCTAAGGATTCTAGCATTTCCACTACAGTTATCCCTCACCTATGGCAGGAGTTAAGTTCCAGAGATCCCTGCAATACATGAAAAACCACGAGGTAGTGGCATTATATATATTT